AACTTACCTAGTATAGAAACGTTGTGACACGCTGACTGTGCACGCAGTGGTCGCGTACAAGTTTGTATGTACAGTATCTTGGAAAGCTATTTCAGTTTGCAGGTAAGTGGTTGGCTATGGCACTTACCCGGAATGAAGGTAAACCTGAAGACGCAAATATAACCGAGTTTCTTCAACTAGTTTTTTTGTTAATTCGCGTCAGCCAAACACGCCGGAACTTTTCGAAAAATCGCAATTAGCGTTCTCAATTTAGGGTAATAACTTTCGGCAAAGAAACACCCCGAAGATCTGCTCCCTTTTCGGGGACTACTAAATCAACTTGCCTCATTAGCAGCCCTCAAACTTGCATCGTGAGGCAAAACTATACATGGGTGCAAGCACGAGGAGACAACACGGCAGCGGTAGGCGACGGAGCGGTAGGTATCCGGGCATGTCGGTGGCGCATTTCGGAAGTGACGAAGGGGCGCTGCGTGACGCACGTGCACACTATGTATACACTCCCACTGGCAGTGGAGTGAACGAGGTGGCCGCGCCGTATCTCGGCTGATTCACCGGTAGGTGACAGTAGCAGCGGCGCTGGAGTCGCATGATAGTGAAGATCTCAGAAGCGTCTCCATTGGGAACGCGCGTGAGTAGCCCGCGAAAGCGTGTATTTGTTCGCTTTTAGCGCGTTTAATGCGTTTCGGAGCCTGTATCAGTGTATGAATATCTGCTAAGCGCAATAGTGCACGAGTAAACATGCAGACACGCATAAATTGCGTCGGAACATTCACTGTTTCAAGAGCCTGCCGACAAAAAAAAAAAAGAAAACATGTAGTACAATCAGAATTTGCACGAATCCACCTAGCTTTTCACTCAAGCGGCGCTTTGAGCGGTGCTACATCAAAAGTGGCCACTGGCGAGCTACAAACAGGGAAGTATCAAAACCGCGAATAAATCGTACGTTCGTTTTGTTGGTGGTTTCTATATCCAGAGCACTCTTCCTCATATAACTCCACATGACCTCGATTGTTTCATGTGAAACCTAATTAGAAGTAATGTTGTCACCACTTTTATATCAGTGACGACACTGTTTTATCATCCCAGTTTGGCCGAAGATAATAATTATTGCTTTCTGAAAGGCTTTCTTGTTTTAACCGCGTGCTTTCGCGCTTACTTTGCTTCCTTTATGCAAGCTCCAGGAGGCCGAGCCAGGGAGCTGAGCTGAAAGAACGCCTGTACCTCCTAGTCAAGAAATCTATGCGAAAGGGGTTATCTTAAACATATTAAAGAGTGCCAGTTGTATATTATACATAGCCTGTTTGTTACTCTGCCTAAATTCACTGTAACCCGTTCTCATTTTGTATCGACAGCTTAAATTGTACTGCTTTCCTAATATTATATTGGCGTAACGCCGTTGCATGCGAGAAAATTTATGACTATGACGATGTTTAGGATTATAGGTGTAGTTCTTTTATTGAGTGTCAAAAGTGTAGGCAGGCGTTGGCGCATTTTGTTCTGAGAAATATAACTTGTCTATGTACACAGTAAACACACACAGACACGTATGTATATATACATATATATTGATGAATGTACGCATTCAAGTCACACGTCACCGCCCCCTTAACAATATCCATGCAATGCCCCTTAGAACAGCCGATATTTTTACGCCATGCCTTTTTTGTCCAACTACGTTAGCCTTTCACTAGTTTTGAGACATCATACTGTCGAAAAGGTAAAATATACAGTGCGCATTAATACAGAGGCACGCTATATTCAGCTTCGCTCTTTGTAAACGTTCAGCGTAGGGCTAGCCAGGATTTTTTTTTGAGGGTGGGGGGTGCAGCAGAACGACTAACTTCGGCAAATGGTGGTCGGTATAAATACGCCTAAATAGTTTAGTACACCCTGAAAAGTTAAATTACGAAACATTTTGTGCTGTAAGGCGTTCAGATTCCCTTCCTTGCCCCTCTACTTACGGCCTCCTGGTTCTGCGTACGTTTGACACGGTATTTTTTTTTCATCTCACAGCTTTCTGAGCGCAGCTAACTTCCAATAAATCGACTCAGTTATTCTTAATATTGTCGACACCTGCTAAACGAAGAAAGGGTTTAGAGAAGAAATCAGAAGACGCGCCCTGTTTAAATAATTTTCGATCTCTCACAAGGACTTTCATGGAGCTCAAATTCAGTAGATTGGCGTGTCATACTTCAAGGGTTATGACATCATGTGCTAGACATGAATGATATAGGCAGGTACGAAGAAATCTGCATAAAAAAGTTGGCCCCGTATCTGCATTTAATCTGCAAATGTCGTTGAAAGATGATAGTCTTGCGTGTGGAGAGAGTGAACAAAACATTTACTTACTGTTCTGCTCAAGAAAATCAGTGAATGGTATTCTGGAGGCGCGGCGTTAAGGCACGAACACACTGGCGGCGCCGCGCTCTGCCGCGCGCCGCTCGCGAGGCGCCGCTTTTCTCTCTTTCTCCCGCGCTGTAGAAGGGATGCATCCCTTCTGATCAATGAAAAGATTAGAAGGAAGGGAGCGCAGTGGCTGGCAGAAGTACATAAAAAAGATAGAAAGGCAGCTGCGAAATTTTGGAACCATCTAAACTCCCTAAGAAATGAGACGAGCCTAGAGCAGAGATTTATAACTACAGCCCAAGGTGCTAGGCTAGAAGGGGACGAAGCTATTGAATATATAAGAACAAAAGTGACAGAAAAATTTCAACAAAGAAGTACTTCATGCACCACAATAGACAAGGACGAATCAAGTGGTGCAATGGCTCCATTTTCACAACAAGAGTGGGTAAGGGCTGAGAAAAGGGTTCCTAGTAGTACATCAACAGGCCCAGATGGCATTCCAATTAGGCTGATAAAGACATTAGGTCCGAAGTCTAAGCAGGCTTTGAGAGAGGCAGTGAGCACAATAATAATCGATGGTGAAGTTCCCGATGGATGGAAACTTAGCAGGATGAGCATGATCTATAAAGGAAAGGGGGACAAAGCTGACATAAACAACTACCGTCCTATAACAGTGACATCAGTGGTCTACAGGCTGGCGATGCAGATTATAAAGGAAAGACTGCAGGCGTGGATAGAGAATGAGGGGGTGCTGGGGGAACTGCAGAATGTGTTTCGGAAACACAGGAGGTTGGAAGACAATCTGTTCTCACTGATGCAGTGCATCGAAATAGCAGAAAAGGAACACAGGCCCCTGTGGCTAGCATTTTTGGATATCAAGGGAGCGTACGATAGCGTGGTTCAAGAGGAATTGTGGGGAATACTGGACACACTAGGCGTGGAACATGTAGTCACTAATTTTTTAAAGGGTATCTACAAAGGTAAAAAGGTAGTTATAAAGTGGGAAAAACAGGTATCCAAGCCTGCAGAGGTAAAACGGGGGCTTAGGCAGGGGTGCCCCCTGTCACCCTTATTATTCATGATGTACCTACAAGGATTAGAGGCAAAATTAGAAGGAAGTGGACTGGGCTTCAACCTCTCTTTAGTCAAACAAGGAAAACGTATTGATCAGGCACTACCAGCATTAATGTACGCAGATGATATAGTGCTAATGGCCAACAACAAGGAAGATTTGCAGAGATTGATGGACATCTGCGGTAATGAGGGAGATAGGTTAGATTTCAGATTCAGTAAGGAAAAATCAGCAGTCATGATTTTCAATGATAACGAAGGTAGTGAGCTTAGAATACAGGAGGTCACGCTAGAGATAACAGATAAATACAAATATCTGGGCGTATGGATAAGCAATGGAACCGAGTATCTGAGGGAACACGAAATATACGTGACGACTAAAGGTAACAGGAATTCAGCAGTCATGAAAAATAGGGCACTGTGGAATTACAGTAGGTATGATGTTGTGAGAGGAATATGGAAAGGGGTCATGGTTCCTGGGCTGACGTTCGGCAATGCGGTCTTGTGCATGAGATCAGAAGTTCAAGCAAGATTAGAAATTAAGCAACGTGGATTAGGTAGGCTTGCTTTAGGAGCTCACGGGAATACACCAAATCAGGGAATACAAGGTGATATGGGATGGACATCATTTGAGGGCAGGGAAGCTAGCAGCAAGATAAAATTTGAGAAGCGATTGAGAGAAATGGGGGAAGAGCGTTGGGCTAGGAAGGTTTTCAGATACTTGTACATGAAGAATGTCGATACGAAATGGAGGAAGCGAACCAGGAAGTTGACTGGTAAATACTTAGAAAACAGCAGGTGGCCAAACCAAAAAGAACTATCGGTTAAGAAGAAAGTGAAGGAAACGCAGACTGACATGTGGAGAATGGACATGATTAAGAAGTCCGCACTAGAAATCTATCGAACATTTAAGCTGGAAATTGCCAAGGAAAGGATCTATGATAATACTCGGGGTGGTTCTCTACTGTTTGAGGCTAGGACGGGAGTACTGCGAACCAAGACATATCGGGCCAAATACGAAGGGGTAGAACAGTATGCAGTGCGTGTGGAGAGGAAGAAGAAACTGCCGAACACTTGATAATGTTCTGTAAAGGGCTTCACGCTATAGTTCAGGATGATGGCGCAGAGTTTTTCAAAGCACTGGGGTTTAGGGACCGGGAGGGCAAAATAAACTTTAAGCGGGTAGACTTCACTAGAAGGAGGTTATCTGATTGGTGGCTAAAGTCAAGGCGCGAGTGAAAATTAAACTCTTCACTGCAAAGTACGAATCCTCAAACTCTTTTTTAAGAAAAAAAATATAGTTTTTGGTTCATTATATATTACGGCTTGGTGGCGCTGGCCACCGCCCGATCTAAAGGGCACAGCCATATCCATTCATCCATCCATCCCGCCGAGCGTCGAGGAATTTCTGCCGCCGACTCAATCGCTCCTTGCGCTATTTCTGCCGCCGCCGCCCAAGCAAAGCGCCAATCAACGACGTGCGTGGTAGTCGCCATAGCAACGCACGAAGCTTGTTTTCTTTTTTTTTCCGGCTGTCATTTTTCTCGCGCTGTCGTTTTCTGAAGCACGCTGACAACGGAACCATGGACACCGAACGCTTTTTAGAGGAGATCAGACTGTACCCCTTTTTATACGACAAAACGATGCCCGATTATAAAGATAAGCAAGCAAAAATGAACACATGGGATATTATAGGATCTATGTTTGGATTGACAGGTAAGTGGCGATTGCGTGGCTCATTGCATGTTGAGCGCGAATGAATTGTATGTTTTATTCACTCACTTGTGCAGGAACACAGGCCATGATGAAATTTAAAAATATTAGGGACTGGTGGATGAAGCTCGTGTCGGGAGTTGAGGCGAACACTCGGAGCGGTGCGCCAGGCAATCATGGAAAAATTAAGTGGCCCCTGTTCGCAATTAGTGATGGCATGCTGAGGCAGACACCTCACTATGCGGAAAAGTAAGTGATTAATGACGTGCCGTTTCATATTGCAGTGCACGCAGGATACCTGTTTCATGCCTGCCGACTATCTTGAATTTGCTGCGAGACTCCTGAATACTGACTGACCCTCCGGGTCGACGTGCACGTTCCCGAGCTGTCGCTCAAAGAAAACTATTTACAGAATAAGGAAAGGTGGCCTAGTTGATAATGAATTGAATGGGGCAGCGTTAGGACGAAGACACGAACGAGAAATGACACGAGAAGTGCTGCTAAAAAACTATTTACGACTCATAGCCGAGCGTTTTTTTTTCCCGCCGTTCGTGCGAATGCTGTTTCAAACACCGCAGGCCATGAAAAGTGCTTCTACGTAAATTAAGCGTTGTACGTTGATTTATCAATTCTACTTTTTGCAATGAATTCGTGCTACAGATCGGTTCATACTGTAGGGTCATGCGGTGAGGCCTACAATGGCGGCGAGGGCACGCCAACTGTCGCGAGACACAGCACATCTCATTTCATAATTGTGAGTGAGTGTTGCGAGCACACATATTAGATACATGATGGAGGGTGCGCCTCCCCCCCCCCCCCCCCACCTTTGAGTGATCGCTTGCTTTGAAGTAACAGCTGGCTGTTCAGGACAGGATCCCAAGTGTTTTTCTGTCCCTTTGTGGAGCTCTACAGGGATGCAAATAAATCACTTCTGCTTTACTGCCAATAAATAGACAGCTTACTTCACTCTAAAATATTTCAGGACAGCATTGCAAATGTCTTCTTTTAAGAACTGGCCTGTGTCGCCCATGTACCAACTACACTGTTTATATCACTCGTGTTATGATCATATTTATGAAATGAAAATAAATTATATTAAACAAAAAATGTTATAATTCATCATGTGTGCCAATTCTGATGCAGCAAATGCTCATTTTCAGGCCTGTAACCAACATGCCACAGGCATCTGAAGATTGGTAAATATAAACTTCATCCACTCTTTCTTGTTATCATGAATACATATCCTATTCTTGCATAATAAGACAGTCTTTACATTTATGTGTCTGCAAGAGACATTGTGGGTTGTGTGCATGGGTGTAAGCTTACATGCTACTCTAGCAGCAGCAGGCCAAGCAACATTGCAACACTTCATTCTCTACTTTGCAGCAGTCAAGACGCTCCACAAATGGCACAAGGCATTTTAAACGGAATGTAAGTGCCTCAAGTTGTTTTCTTGGTGGGCCAAGTTTGGTCTCCAGGCTTATGTTGCTATAAATATGCTAACTTTTGGCTCTGAACATGCAGCTATGCCAGTGCCAATGAGGGTGAAGAATCCTTCTGTTATGCTTCTCCGTGAGTTGCTTTTTATATTTTTCAGTGTTCAAAAGCAGTTCTCTACTAATCCAAGCACATTGAAATAGAACTGCTTTCTCTGTCTTATAACCTGTGTGCTGTTGGCACAGCTCACAAGTAAAGTTTTTGAGCTGCTGACCTAAACGCAGGATAGCTTTTATTGAACTTGTCTGAAGTTTTAAGGAACAATAATTGTTCAACAGGTGAATGTGAACAACTACGTAGTGCCGGCTGTCTTCTTGAGTAGGCTGCGATATTTGGACATCACTGTGACATTTCATAAATTTCAAAGAATGACGTGAAGAAATCTGGAATATTTATTTGTAAAAACAGTATCTGAATACTCCCACACTGTATGCCAAAAAATAACAAGCAACACGCACAGATGCTTTTTCACTAGTGGTACATACTGATTCTTTTACTTCTTTTTTATTAGAGAGATGTGCCTTGAAGAAGAATGCCCTGAAGGGTAAGTCACATTTCAAAAGTTTTATCTGTTTTTATATACCCAATCAAAACAAGCATTCAAAAATCTGCCTGTGACAGTTGTACCTCTAACATAGTTTGCTAACGGCACAGCAAGCAAATCGTGGCTGTCTTTTGTTCATAATTGTGAATCCTTGCTGTTTTAAGTGCTATATTTGGTCCACATGCTGAGAGGAGCATTAAGCATGTTCTTTTACGTCAAATAGATGCGCTAGAACTTTTTTATAGGGACTGCCAAGGAAGTCTTTTGGTACCTGTTTTCTTTAGTGCAACTGAAAGCCTACCAGTCAGTATCTAATCGTGGAATGATAACATGGAAAACAATGTGCTGCGTTTATCAGAATCTCTCATTCAGTGGTAACGGGGAGCTGTATGCAAAATGCATGCTGGAAGCAGTAGAACGTGAAGGCAATAATGAAATTCGAGTTTGTGCTGTGCAGTTGCCTGCATATCTATACACCTTTGCCGCATACACTATAACTGACGTGTTCCACTAGTAGGCGCAAACACAGCGACTATTTACAGTATTAACTCCTTTTACCTTGTAAGCAGCTCAGAATATAGTGGGAATAAATAATAAAACACACTGTAATCTTGGACAGTAATTGTGGTGCACATAAGAGCATCAGCCTACATGCAGCTAAGCGAATGTTCAAAGCCACAGTGTAGCGTGACTAGGCTGTGTGACGTACCATGTTTTTTGTAACATAAATGCAAGTGATACATCTACTTTTTCCTAATTCATGAAAATGATGCTCGAATATGTCACTGTATGAGTTGCGGTATGTTGATTTTCATAAATATCTAATCACATGGGTTAGATAAGTGTCTGTTTCTTGTTTCTTTTATACACTGCAAATTTAGCAATGTTTGTTTCTTTTTTCTAATAATTACAATTTCATGTTGTACTAGTTCATGTTTGACTTCATGCAGTATGCGAGATGTCACTGACGTATCATTATTACGGTTCTTACAGGCCTTCGCAGGCTACGACAATAAACAACTGCTCGGCTGTGCCACCAACCACGCCTTCAATGTAAGAATGCCTATGTGGACTTTGAATATTAAATCTGCTAGGCTTTGTTCAAGCTAGAGGTATCATGCTTGAGCAAGTACAAATTTGTGATGTCAGAAGAGATAGATAACATACAAGAAAAATGATGACAATACACTGGCAGCACACATTTTAATTCTTTTTTTGATTGTACAAATGAATAGCAGCTTGGACATATCTTTTTAGTCATCCTGCATGAGCAGCCTCCAATTTTTTGCGTAGGACAGGTGTCATCTATGCTCTGCTTGCACTGCCTATTGCAGGTTGGCAATCACATGCTTGTAGTATTGCTGTCAATGTATGGCTGCATCACGCAATTCAACTTAATTGTCTGTTTTTGTTAATGTTGTGTTGCTAGTACACTTATACTCTACAGGCATAATCACTCACTTGGCAATAATCAGTTTCTTTCCCTTTCCTTAGCATCACTCTCTGTGCCAACATGTGAAACTAAGCTGCCAAGACTTGCATATGAACTTCACGACAGCTTTTCTAATCTGTGCTGTGTTTCTGTTTCTTCTGCAGGCCCACCGGGAAACCCACAGATTTTGCACCATCTCGGTAATTACACCCTTCACACTTTTTGCAAACATTTTGATGGCACTTAGCGGTAAGTGTAAATTTGTTTTGCAGGAAGAGAAAAACACGCAGTGAGGACGTGGATGCGAGCATTAAAGACCTTCTTGGCAGCTGCTCCACCTCAATTCAAGCGATTGCAAAGAAAAAAGAAGCACTGCAACCCGACGAGTGCGACATAGCTGGAAGCCTTGTAGCTGTCAAGCTCAAGGCATTACCAAAGAGAAAGCGCTCACAGGTGCTTTTTGAGATCCACAAGCTTCTACATGAAGCCGAAATGGAATGTCTGGAGGATTCGGATTGAAATTTAAGTACATATTAATGAGACTAGCATTACTTCAAATTTGGACAAGCGTACAATTATAAATCATTCATCACATCATATAGCGAATCTATCAAAATTATGTCAACCTAATGTCAGTTAGGTCGACCAAATCATAATACCGTCTTTTCCGTCCTCTTTATTAATGTATCTGTGCTTGTAAACCACGCCGTCGCCATCGCGGTACGAGCAGCATTGACAAGCAATCCCAGGTTTACATGCAGAGATACACCTGATAAAGTGAATGGCCCGACGGGCAACTGCCTTAGCTCAAATGGTACAACATCAGGTGCCTTATTCGAAGGTTGCAGGCTCGGTTGCTATAGACAGCAACTTGCCTTTTTGTCCACTTTTATTGTCACACCTAACTGTAACTACTACGAAAAATCTCCCCTATACTATCCGTTAAAAAAAACTAGCTCTTTAACTCTCCTTCTTTTGTTAATGATTAGGGTTATAAACAATGAAGGGATTGGTGAAAAGCTGATGATGCTATTTTTTTAAAGGGGTACTGACACGAAATATTTTGTCTATTGTTTTATGTGTCAAATGACAGGCCAACACCCCAAGAGCGTAGGAAATGTACCGGTAAGCATGAGTGCGCCCTGGAAAATTAATTACAGCAGGCCTTTAAAAGCTAGTTTTGATTCTACTGTACCTTGGCATCATAGCATAGTACGAGCAGCGCCACCAGGTTGTTTATGCGTGCATAAGTTTTTGCGATGTATTCTTGTCCACACATCGCTTCTTCAATCGTCTGCTGTATGCTGCACCTGTCACAGCTGTCGTAGCAATTCGAAATCAAACGACTTCTCTGGCCTCTGCTAAGCGTATATCTTGCGTTCGCGTGCGCATACCCTATTCTAGAGTCCACTAGCTGGCTTCACAGGTACGCTGAATGATAGTGACTGGAAGGCGCGAGCAGGTGATTGAGAAGGTGAGGCGGAAGCTAGCTTTTTTGTTTTGGTGCTCGACATCATCACAACTAGCCACACTGCTACGTAAAGTCACCAGGATTAGTACTGTAGCTCGACATCAAGTTTGTGTCAATGTTTGTAGATTCGACACGAGAAAAACAAGTTTCACATGAAAATGAAATATTTCATCAGCATTTGCTGAGTGTGACACTTGCTCAGAGCAGTCTCTGTATACAGGAGATTTGTATTCCAGAGTAAACTTGCCTCCCAAAAAAGGTGTCAGTACCCCTTTAACTTATCTATAAGTTTTGATAAAATATGTACACTTATTTGGTTTACAGATGTAGGAATAAAACAAATTCAGAGCCGATAGTGACAGTGAAAACAGTCAAGAAGTAATTATCAGTGGTTGTTATGCATCGCTCAAATCTGATTATGTCAATATCGTCATTAATAAGCGTAACTTAGTGTGCAACCATCGGTTACAACAACACTCCAGAATTGTCTAGGGTTTGTATGCACTGCTGAGTAAACTAGAAGAATCCAGTTTTTGCTTGTCTCACACACTGGCAATAATGATTTTATGATTAGCGGGAGTTGCTTGTCCTACTAGATTTGCAAAAGTGCTTTGATCTGTTGTCGTTTGAGAACCATGGGTAAATTTTGTCTGTTTTCACAAGAATCACGAGTATAGATTCAATTTTCAAGGTTTCCTAAAATTTTATCGATTTTCCACAGTGTTTGCTATGTTCTCTAAAATTGTTGTCAAAAGTGACCCACTTTGTTTATAAGCAATTCATAATTTATAGTCAGTGAATACTTCCCTCGATGGGTTCTTGTTTTTATTTTGCTGATGGAAGCTCTTTGTCCCATTAGATTTGTGATGAAGCCTCTTCCTGGTGAGGAGCCTTCCTTTTCAGATGTGTTTTAAACAACGGGCATTTTTGTCTGTTTTCAAAAGAACTACGAATGTAGGTTTGCATTTTAAGGTTGCGATATTGTTTTTATAGATGTCCCTCTGCGTGTTTGGTATTTTGTTTGAAATCGTTCCAAAAAGTCGTGTACTTTATTTATAAGCCGTTTAGAGTTTACTGTCAATGATTTCCTTGATGGGGACCTTTTTTGTTGCACAGGCAGTACACTCATCACTAAGCTTAGGCAGAGCCCGAACAATATAGTCGGGTACAGCTTTAGATGTCTGTAGCATTTACTCCTCAAAGGGCACAAGCCTTCACCAATGGGGGTGAAATTTAGACTGATGTCATGGGTTGGATGGCCGGGATACCCGGTTTCGGAAAATGAAAAGTGCATGAGAACAACTGCTTCTTTAGTGGTAAAGATGGTCAGCTGCTGTGCTTTGGTCACCGAGATGAGGCCTCTGCATATTTATTAAGTTGTACTCTACCAGAGAGTTCCGTAGTAATATTTAGAGGGAGATCTGGCACTAGTGTCTACGCGGGCTTCTTCAGGAGCGCTTGTACCCCTTACGGGAATTATGGAAAGTACAAGCTTCGGAACTGCTTCGATTGGAACATCAACATCGATACGATTTCGAAATCTGTCCAATTTGTTGTCTTTGTGTATGCTCATTTGCATTTCAGTTCAATGTTCGTATTTCTTTGTCTTTTTTTTCAGGGCACTTTTGGAAATTATATGGTCAAATAGTCGCACTTAAAGCACGTAAACAAAAAAAAAGTCAGAGGTAAAATGCAAATACTGTATTGTTCCTTTCGTATGCCATTTGTGTCAATGTTAAGTACAAAAAGCTCACATTGTATCTTATTAAATTTGTGTTTCAGTGCAATGTTTTGTATTTATTCAGTCACGTTTATGTTTCAGTGCAGCATTTGCATTTCTGTGATTTCAATTGTGTTTCAGTGCAATATTTTGTATTTGTGCAGTCACACTGATGCTTCATTGCAATATTCGTATGGATTCTCTCACATATGTATAAATTCAACATATTGATGTTTTGCAAAATTGAGTTGTGAATTAGTCCTTGTACAAAACTTTTTTTATAGCAGAGAAGGTCAGCCATAGTAATCACAAGTAAACCATTTATATCTATTGGTGGAGCACTCATAAACCTATATATAGCACATTCTGATCTTCATGTCAAAGCAATGTGGCAGCGCTACTGATGCGGAGAAAGACATGTTTAAGAACAAAGTACCAGCAGACATGAGTGAACCATTGATCTACTTCACTACTGCATCAATGAAATGCTTCTATACATTTTACACAATAAAAAATGATCCCTTAAAGTTTTCCTTGTCACAATAATTGGTAGGAAAGGTCTAGTTATGGCAGACTTCATTCTTTTGGTAGTGCGTGAGAGCTTATTGGTCACTTGCCAGCTGGTAAAAAGATATCTCTTGTGCTACATGATACTAGCAGGCAGAAAATGTGTTCCATGCTTGCCTTTCTGGCAGTGAGTGGCTAGAAAGGCAAGCCCGGACATTTCCTGGTTAACAGTCTCCGATTAACACTAAAATGAGCTGCCAGAGCATGGATAGGCAGTATCAATGGCACTTCTCAAATGCTTATTTGGGATACGTCCGTCACGTTGTATATAAATAACAATTAGCTCTGGAAGATACTATGTTACAATATACATTAGCACAGACACTTTGTTAGGATAGTATGATGAACACAGTATCATGTATTTGTGTTCAAAGTGAACCTACACTGTAGACTCTCAGAGCATGCAAATTATTAAAATAGAACTGTTGCTTGAATAAAACAACTGCATCTTCATAAGAATGAAAGCTTGAGTGAGTAGGTACGCGTTAATCTTGGTTGATACAGCGCACACAGAACAACGAGAATAAACACAGTACGGGTGCTGACTCAGAAATAAATTTTATTGGGAAAAACAAGCATATATATGGCGACATACAACATAACAAAAAAAGGATCCTAGCTAAGAAAAACAGGTACATATATATAAAGTGGTATGAGCCTTGGGACAGGAGAAGAAGAAGCACAAAAGTTGGGGCAGGAAAGAACAGTAGGATGAAGTTGGGAATGATGGACGCCAGTCCCTACTGAGGCTATAATGCTGCTCCATTCTTTTAAGTTGAAACACTACATTATTTTGGCGCAGCGGGCCATCGAAGCCAACATGTGGGTGACGTTCTTCGTTGACGAGACCTCCACGGACAAGATCATCTTTTCGAAGTACCAAGTTCAAGATGAAGCAGCGGTGGACCTACCTCGTGAGCCCCGCCGCGGTGGTCTAGTGGCTAAGGTACTCGGCTGCTGACCCGCAGGTCACGGGTTCGATTCCCGGCTGCGGCGGCTGCATTTCCGATGGAGGCGGAAATGTTGTAGGCCCGTGTGCTCAGATTTGGGCGCACGTTAAAGAACCCCAGGTGGTCGAAATTTCCGGAGCCCTCCACTACGGCGTCTCTCATAATCATATGGTGGTTTTGGGACGTTGAACCCCACAAATCAATCAATCAACCTACCTCGTGAGCTCTGCTCGGAAGAACTCGTAAACCTGGTTGTGGGAAAGGCAGCTGTGGACGCTACTGAACTAGGAAGGAAAGGTGCTGTAAAAGTAAACCTGCATGTGGCGACCTTCTACAACCTAGTTCTTGAACCAGCGCGTCGAAGAGACTCAGGATCACGGTCTTTGACGAAAGAGGTGAGCCTCGTTTTGAAGGCTCTTCAGCTGCAACATGAACAGATTATGCAACAAAACAAAATAATGACATCCTTTATAAGCTCTCTGAATGCTGAGAAACCGGAGCCTAAATTCGTAGAGCCTGATGCCTTCGATGGTATCTCTTCAAATCCAGAAAGTTTGCTTGAGTTCTATGAATATGCCACTAAAAAAAAAACAGGTGGCTCTTTGATGATGATAAAATCACTAACATGCGTTTTTACTTGAGAGGTGTTGTGCTCAAGTGGTATGAAATGTGCATTCAGGAAGACAGTGGTGGCTTTTGGAGTCAGTGGAAGAAGAAACTTTTGACCGCATTCGGAAGGCAGATCCCACTAACCGAAGAAACAGAAATGTGCACAGCTTTTATCACACCATCCGATCTCTACGAGTATAAC